CATTTGATCAAGCAGGAAAAACTTGTACCTAAACACCAAGAAGGAATACTGGTATGACATCTTATAGATATTGTTTTCTTGGCACTTGTGTATAATGTTAAAATAATAAATAAATAACACACAACATCAAAATAAATACACAATTAAAAAAAAATTAATTCAGGCCACTCTATGGCCTCCAAAATGTTGACTATATATGCATCAATGTTTCCCACATCATCATCATCAGGACCTAGTTCAGACATTGTGTAAGAGAAGAATTGTTATAAATGAAACAAGAGGTATATTGTTACTAGTGTTATTGTAGGGCTGTACCAATAAATAACTACATATCAGTATTGACTTCCAACGCAGCCTTTGACCTATCACATCAAGTTCAGTTTCATTGTCCATGTAATTGCTACCATAACCAATAACAATTTTACTGTATATTCCTTTGTAATCTTCTACAACAGTTTTTCAGTTTACCATTGTCACAGAGTCAAGATAAGTACACGCATCGTACATTTTCATGTTGTACCTTCTCCCATGTAAGTTATAAGTTTTGAATAAATTTCATAGACTATCACTATGTTAAAAAGTGTGTATATGTGTAGGGGAGAGAACCCAGAGGCTTAAAAAGATAAAATGAACCAGACTAGCCTACAATATGTGCTTATTAAAAAAATAAATTAATCAAATATAAATATCCATGTTACAAACCTCCAACATTAAGTATCTATTTTTTAAAGTTTTATTTTAAAAATATCATATAACCTTCTAATAACTCTTCCTTATCTTTGCTTGAATTTAAAATTTTAATATGACATTAAACTTGCATAAAGCTTCCAATGACATTTATTGTACTTACTTCTAAGTAGGAATAAATTGTACCTGTTTTCTTTATTTCTTTATCTTCTGAACCTCCTTGATCATACATTTTCACCTGACATTGGATTCCAAAGACTCGATCGTGAGGCAATCCTTCTTCTAGAACAGTTTCATAGTAGGGTGGCTCCCATTGTCTTTTCATGCAAAGTTCCTGTAATGTTCCTACGTGATTTCCAGAAAATTTATCACCTTCAGATGAATCATCTTTTTGATCAT